GAAATATTTTTCTTCACGTCAGTGATAGATTTTTTAAGCCAAGAGTATATTTTTCAAGGTAAGGATATGACTTTTTAAGTTGTTAATAAATGAATGAATGTCATATTTTAATTCATTTTTTTTATTTTCAACTGTAAAGTGTTGTTTTATCATTTTTAAACGAAAAATATGCAATTGTGGTAAAGGGACCAAGGGCGCCTTGCCCCAAGCCCATGGGCCCATTGCCCCAGGGGTGGGGCAATGGGCCCATTTTGACACTTTTTACAAAACAGTGTTTCATTAAAAATTGAATAAATCTATAGGCGTCTAATTCACATCATACATTCCTCTTTAGTTGTACCTTTAAATAAAACAAAGAACCACCTCGTATCAATTAAAACTTCATCAAAAATTTAGTTTAAAAAAGTGGGGGGCGCGCTGCCCCATGTTGCCCTACCTGGAGGACCTCCTTGTCGTCATTTGATGTATAATATTCAAAACATTCACTACTGCATATAAGCTTTCTGAACTCAAAAAGCTATACATGTCGAGACTATCAATCAATGATTAAAATCATTCATTAGTGCCATTTTTATCAGTTTAATTCTGCCTCATAAATCAAGGTTAATAAATTTTATTTTCATTCAATATAATATATCTCTAGGAAACCATTTTAATATGTTCCTTTATTTTTAAAATCGATGAGCGCCTCATCCATTACCGGAACCAACTCGGTCAATAATTTTTTATTGTTACCCTGTTGAGTAATTCAATATATTCAATTTAACGAGCCAAAGTCGTTGGAGCTAACTTTGTCTTAGAGCATTCCAATTTCTGATCAACTTCGATAAGAGATAAGGCAACTTCTCCCATCAGTTACTCGAGTTAATCATAACTCGAGCTTTCGAATTTTTATTTACGAAGTTTTGAGTTTTGGGTTAATTAAATTTTCAAACGCAAACTCTACTCTTGGAATTGCTTAGGCAGCTTTAGATACTAAGTTTCGATGTTTACTCAGTTTCGATGATAATACTCAGTTTCGATGTTTTGACGTTATCTTCAAGCAGTAACTGCAAAATACTTACATTATATCTAACTTCATCTACTATTTTCAAAAGAAAAATGGACATAATGGAGTACGCAGCCATTTGTAGATAAACACAACATTATGCTTTTCCATGACTTCCCGACAAAGAATCTAGAATGTACTTCTATAGCTGTTGAAAACTGAAAGCTATAACTAAACATTCATTAGAAAAAAGTACATGACATTTTAACATGAGTTATTTAAATTAAGAAATTTTCAACATATTTTTTACTTTTACACTTCATTTCAATAATTAGGTCTGGTATACTGATATAAATTTCCACTTAAAATGTGCATAAATGGACAATATAACAATCATAATATCGCAATGAGTGTTTATTTCATTCATGTGTATTAATGAGCATTAATTTGTTCACAAATTCATAGAGAATTTGCCGATGTTTTCAGTGAGAAGAATTTACTGCAGTTTGCAGATGGTAGAATGTGCTGAAGTGGTCTTAGTTTAATATTGTTGTTAGCGGTGATGATGGTTGCTGTACCATATCAGCAGCTGTTGATTTTATTGTTCCGAGACACAAGAGCCTCTGATGGCAATAAACTATACACCCAGCATGTAAAATGAATAAATATGAAATTAAGTTACTGTTAATAAAATCTATTTATAAAACTCCACACAAACAATCGAGTGAGGTAACAACTTGCTTGATTATTCAACGTCGTTTAGTCGTTATAGTAGATTCTGTCATCAACAGTCTTGTATCAGTTAAGATGTTCGACGGTGATCCAGCAAGACTTGCATGTATGAGTCCCAATATAAAGACATATTTTCTTAATCTCAATGCAAACACTGACCGGGAGTAGCACAATTTCGCATTTTTTAGCGAGCCAAACTAATTCAGGATGACCCATAAAAGTGCCAAAATTGAATTGTTTTTGGACAATGCCTTAATAATATCTCTGAGTACACCGTTGTTGGGGCTCTCAGAACACCCAACTAGCCTACATGATCGTATAGGTTCTGAATACTGATGAATAGTTATTAAAACACTTTATTTCACAACTCAAAATGAACACAGTAAATAATCATCAAAGAATAACATTAGCACATAACACTTCGTAGCTTTCATCTTGGGTGCATGGCTTTCGAGACTAACTCTTGACTTGAGTCTAACTGTAGATTCGAGGCTTTTCCAAAAGATACAAATAAAAATAGATAAATAATAGTAAGCTAAACATCAACGTATTAAAAAATATATAACCTAAATATTTACACAATTTGTCCACCACATCGAATCTATTCACCTATATTTTTACATATTCACATCCTAACGCAGCACATACCTCCGCTCCAGCTTTCCAAGACAGAATAATCCTATCACCTCATCCTTCCGCACTTAGCCTTCAGTAAACTCTAAACTAAAACGACAATTTAAAATTCCGAACTATAAACAAATTATACAATCAATACACCGATAGTCAACTAACAATTATTTCCATCCCTTACACCGTCCTCTTCATACTAAAATCTCGAAATCTGCCATACATGTGTAGGGCTCAGAGGCTTATAATAAACTTAATATCTACGAACACTATTTGTTTACTACACATCGTAATTAGTGATCTTACACATTACGTAAGCACCTTACGACATTGTAGAGCTCTGCACAGCGCGCAACATCTGCACAAGATTGATCAATCTGCACGCAGCAATCCTTTTGAAAGCTAAACGCCTTAAGACCTTAAAAATACGCGCCACGAAACTTTCATTTGTACATTATGAACAAAATTATACACCCAGGCTTGTTTCACAAATTTTTCACTCTCTACACACCACACCCCCGCTACATCCCACACCCCCTTAAATATCACACACCCTCTACACATCACACCTTGTACACACCACACACCCTATACACTTGACACACCTTCTACACATCACATACCATCCACACCTTCTACACATCACACACCACATGCAATCAGTCCGGTACACAGCTTTGAGCCGTGAGGCGTGAGGCTCGCTGCGCTGAGGCGTAAGGCTTGTTGGGCTGCACACTACCGTACCTTACATCCACGCTTACACGACAGGCCGTGAGCTGCACGGTAGACTGCATCCGCCCACACACGGCAGGCCGTGAGCTTCACGGTAGACTGCATCCACCCACACATGACAGGCAGTGAGTCGAACGGTAGACTGCATCCGCCCACACACGGCAGGCCGTGAGCTGCACGTAGACTGCATCCACCCACACACGACAGGCCGTGAGCTGCACGTAGACTGCATCCGCCCACACACGACAGGCCGTGAGCTGCACGGTAGACTGCATCCGCCCACACACGACAGGCCGTGAGCTGCACGGTAGACTGCATCCACGCACACACGACAGGCCATGAGGTGCACTCCACACCACACGGTAGACTGCGAGTCGTGCCTGGGTTTGATGGGTTGGAACAAAAACAATATTGGTGATTCATTTGACCTCTTACATGGGTGATGATAAAGTACAGGATATTTCCAGCCCTCGCGACGTCCCTACATATTTCCAGCCTCGCGACGTAGTCCCTGCATATTCCCAGCCTAGCGACGTCCCTGCATATTTCCAGCCCTCGCGACGTCGTCCCTGCATATTTCCAGCCCTCGCGACGTCGTCCCTGCATATTTACAGCCCTCGCGACGTCGTCCCTGCATATATCCAGCCCTCGCAACGCCCCTGCATATTTTCAGCCCTCGCGACGTTGTCCCTGCATATTTCCAGCCCTCGCGACGTCCCTGAATATTTCCAGCCCTCGCGACGTTGTCCCTGCATATTTCCAGCCACGTCCCTGCATATTTCCAGCCCTCGCGACGTCCCTGCATATTTCCAGCCCTCGCGACGTCCCTGCATATTTCCAGCCCTCGTGACGTCGTCCCTGCATATTTCCAGCCCTCGTGACGTTGTCCCTGCATATTTCCAGCCTCGCGACGTTGTCCCTGCATATTTCCAGCCCTCGCGACGTTGTCCCTGCATATTTCCAGCCTCGCGACGTCCCTGCATATTTCCAGCCCTCGCGACGTCGTCCCTGCATATTTCCAGCTCTCGCGACGTCGTCCCCGCATATTTCCAGCCCTCGCGACGTTTTCCTTGCATATTTCCAGCCCTCGCGACGTCCCTGCATATTTCCAGCCCTCGCGACGTTGTCCCTGCATATTTCCAGCCCTCGCGACGTCCCTGCATATTTCCAGCTCTCGCGACGTCGTCCCCGCATATTTCCAGCCCTCGCGACGTTTTCCTTGCATATTTCCAGCCCTCGCGACGTCCCTGCATATTTCCAGCGCTCGCGACGTCGCCCCCGCATATTTTTAGCCCTCGCAACGTTTTCCTTGCATATTTCCAGCCTTTATACAGCGCATTTATCCATATTTAAGCCCGATTGACGGCATCCATTCCGGTTTCCGGCCTCAGGGATATCGTCCACGCTCATTTTTAGGCCTCAGGACTTCGTTCATGTCAATTTTTAACCAGTTTTTTTTTCGACCTTACATTTTCCTCACACCGCTGCACGTACACCGCGTGTGATCCAGAGTGAATTAATTAGAAACACTTCTGCTAATTAGCATTATTTTAGGAATAATTCTAACTTGATAATAATAACGACTAATTCTAACATAATTACTTCATTTATTGACATGTGATACATTGAAGAGGTAGACGGGATTATGTGAGACGGAATCAACTTTGTTAGAATAATGAACTAAATAGTGCCTATGATCCTAAAATGAAATTTATGTATAAAGATTCCTGCCTTGTATGTGAAATAATAATATTATTGTTGACTAGAGCTTAATATTGCGGCATGGATTATTAGAATTTAGTATTTTTGGATATCAATAATTTTTTCTTATTTGTCTTTATAACCTAATTTTTACATATTTTTGCGAATACTCACTTTTTTCAGTATAGTTGATAATTAGATTTACTGCAACTGCAACATCTTAATTAATTTGTGAGTTCAAACAACAGTAATTGGTCAAAAAATACTGCTGCTAATAGTATTCATTAAACCAGAAGGTATAATGTGAAACTTGTTGTTTATTAGTTTCGTATAGTCAACTTAATTGAAAAACAAAAACTATAGCAAAATAGCTGTCGTTAGTAAGTTTGCTTCATGGCGGCAGACAACATCCCCTCTGATTCCCAGAACTACTCGACTGCGTGGTGAGTGCAAAGTGTAATGGTGCACACTGTACAATGTACAAGAAAGTCTTGGCATTTCGGAAAGTTTAAAAGACGTTTTTGCCCAAGGCCAAGCTGATGCACTACCTTCGTCGTCTACTGCCCCGGTAGTATACGGTCGTTTTCGTGATCAGGATTTCTTGTGGAAGGCGACAGTTTAATATAAGAAACGTGCCTCCGTCCTTGTTCAACATGATGTGTGGGGTATGCACGGGCGATCAGGGAGCATGAAACATGTTCATCGTCCAAAGTTTTCTGTCATTCTCCCAATTATTTGTTTTCAAGGTTGAATAATTACACTTTAAATACGGTAAATCAGAAAAATAAATGAATCATTGTCCAAATATTAACACACTTTCTGCACGTATCGCTGATGTACCAGCGCGAACTGGTTTACCAACAAAGTGCATCACTATTTGAAAAAAATGACCATATTGTTAGTTTCCTGTTCCTATCGCTTTTGTAAGGTGGCTGTCAAGCGTTATTTTTTCCTATTTTAACGCTTCTCCTATTTTTTAACGCTTCTCCTATTTTGCTGTGTCGGATTCCAGGTAGTGAGTGTTGCTTCATCCGATATATCAAACTTGTGCTATTGACCAGTTCCTTATTCACTTGAGCTCAGTCATATATTGTGAGGAGGTTTCCATGCAAGCTCTCACTTGAGCTCAGTCATATATTGTGAGGAGGTTTCCATGCAAGCTCTCACTTGAGCTCAGTCATATATTGTGAGGAGGTTTCCTTGCAACCTCTCACACTTTAACTCACCCACATGGGCCGGAAACATTCCTATGTCATCCGCAACGATGTGCAGAAGACTGTGATGTGCAACTCAATGCTAAATCCATGTGGACTAAATGGATGGATTATAATAGTGTTGCTACTAAAACCAAACCCAGCTGTATTTAGGTTAACTCGGTCTTGCCTGATTTGTAGCCACAAACCACCAACGCTAGTATGTTGCATATTAGATAGTTGCGGATCGATGCCACTGCTTTTTCGATTCCCAGAAGCCTTAATTTTTCAATAAACTCTCAATGGTAGACTTTATCAAACGCTTTCACATAAGCTTTCCCACTTCATCTATACGCCAGTACACCAGAGGCGGCCAAGCAGGCTGCAATACAGCGGGAATGCTTCACAAAATCTGACAAAAAATGACGATCACACCAGAAACCATGTTGTCCCATATTATATGATTCATCCTTCTAGATTTAAAGGGCTAATGTATATTGCACAGCACAGTGTATAGTGCAGTTTAAAATTCAATGTACGAAATAATGTACAGTAAAGTATTAGAGCAGCGTAACGCGCACAACAAACTAGATATTAAGGAATATTTCATGCATTTAAGATTTAAAGGTTCTCTCGATGAAAACCCTTTTCATATGTTCCCATTATATGATCTACCATAACCGACTTACGATACACGCAATACTCGATACCCTAACAAAATTTAGAGTCACCCCAGCTTCTGGTAATCCAAATCAGAAGATGCCGCGTATGTAAATTTTCACTAGGCATAAACGTTTCATGTACCGGGCAGGAAGCACTCGTCGGGAGACCTGCAGAGTCGCCTTAAGACGCGCAAGATCCTCGGCGTAGGAGAGACAGACAACGGAGACATCCACCGCAGCAAGGTAACTACCTATCAACATCCAGGAAATGACAGGATACGGCCAAGTAACTCTAGGTTCTGGCTGTTAATGGCCGGGCAGCGATCGAGAAATTGCAAGGTAACAGTCAGGCAAAATCCAGTAAGCGGCAGGCGTTGAAAAGAAGGTAAATTGAGGTTCTTTCAAGGAAATCAAATAAATTCAACAATTTGATGTTGCCTACAAGGCAATGTCTATACAAAACGCTTCTCATAACAGTTATGTAGAAAACAATGCGCTCTATCAACAGCTGTGTGTCCATTATTACATCCCGCATCCATTTAGTATAGACTGAGGTACGGCCTAACATCTAAAATAGCGTACTACGTTAGAGCGTATACTACGAGCAGTTCTTTAAAAACGCTGTCACATCTCGCAGATGCTGTACCCCAACGAGCACCTGTTCGTCCAGCTCACTAATCACCCGTCCCACTTCCAGATTTCGCAGGTGCTGGGCCACAACGAGCACCTGTACGCGCGTCTGCCGCGAGGGTTGCCCACGACGCACGTGCTGCTGGCGTCGCTGGTGACTGTAGAGTGCGCGCTGCTGCTCGTCTCCCCTCATGCGGCCGCGGCGTTGGGGGTGATCGCTATACCCGTCGAGGGTACTGGGTGTCCCCTCACCCCACTCAGGCTGCTCGGTGCCGCACTGTCTAGTGAGCATCATGTAGGGGAAAGTGGGGTATAGTGGGACACGTCCATTGTTTTATATACTAAAAAATATTGAACAACGGTATAAGGTAGTTATGGCACACATCGTAGTGCATCGGTCGACGCGGCAGAGAGACGTGTTGCCCTGTCATGCCTTCCTTCTCATGCAACATTTTCTTTAAGGTAACCCTACTTAATATTTTTCTTTATGTATTAAATGTGATATGAGCGCCTATTTTGCAAAATTACTTTAGCTTTGTCGTGTGAATAATCATCGTTAAATACGTTTAAAATTAATTAATTGAAATAAAAAGTTACTTGGTTTGATAATATTAAAATGGTAGACGAATGTTTCCAAAATGTTGGTTTGGGACCCACTGGATAGTGTCAAAGCCATTTGCCACCAAACATTTGTTGATGAGATACCAGGCTATTCGTCACCTTCATTCAAAGAAAAATTCCGTATTTACATGATTCATTTAAAGCTATAGAAAAAGAATTATTTACAGGAAAATGTCAAAAAATCTTTTTTTAAATCATAGGAGAGAAAACCAATTTATGCTCTATGATTGCGTTCTTGGAGAATTAGGTTTTATGAAGCAGAAAACGTATCATGTAGGCTTATTAACAAATCAAAATGACGAAAATTACGAAAATAAAAATCATGCTTGCGTTATGGAGAAAAATTGGAACATTTTGTTTTCTAGATGCAGCTGATCTCGAATCAGTCAGTATGGGAAACTTTGATGAAGCCATTCTTGTCGATCCTAATATATGCAAAACAACGAAAATACGGAATTCTAACCTGAAATTTGACATTAACTTTGATGCCATAATTACGTGAAGTGTCCCAATGTACTCACGGGCTGTCCCACATTACCCTGTATAGGGGTACTATGGGACATTTTATTTTATTTATATTTTATAATTTCTAGTCTATCTAACAGATTTATTCCTTGCTTTGGTAGTTATCAATGCCATTATATAGGTGTCGTGCTTATTTTTAGTTAACATATCGTATTTTAAAAATAAGAATAATAGTGTTAATTTTAGTTTAATTTTTTCTTATTTTACCCCACATTCCTCCTTTATTCTAACGGTATATTTTATGATGTGTTTTTAAAATTGACAGAATTAGCGAGGAATATCAAAAAGTTCATGGCCGGTGAATACATTTATGAGGATTTGGGATTCCTTATCGATGCTTTTCTCATTTATGAAATTTTCAAAAGTATTTGACAGCTAATAGTATTTGCGTAGGGTCCTTGACAGTTTCTTATATCGTTGAATGTTGTCCTGAACGGCTTCGTATGTGGTCATGCTGGTTCGCCGATTTCGTCGTTACAGTAGCCTAAATGTAAAAATATATTCATCCTTCTTGCTGACAGTAAGAGTAGTTAGTCAGATACGGCGATAATGGATTGTACTAGGAATCATATGGTTTTTACTTGGAAACTACTTAAAAAAAAGCAAAGTATCACAACCACGTTACCGTGCGACTGAACTGTGATAGCAGATCTGTTGGTGAACGCGAGTATTCTGCACAGTGCACAGTCCTTTATAGTCGGGGCTCCAATCATAAAAATTTCGTTTCTAAAGTTCGGTTTTTATGGTCCATGCTTTTAAGATGACACACCTAACTACCACTTTCCAATTTGTTTCTGGTGTCATGGCCTCTGCATGTCGTCTAGTTCAATATTCCACTGTTTCTTGCCATGATAGCTCTATGAACTGATTATAATTACCACACTAACCGCGAACGAGGAACGCCGTGGACAAAATTACTTTAAAAGTGGAGCACATGAGTTCTGAAAACTGAAACCGTCTGCTGCACTCCTCATAATGTTCGCCAACCCTTTGTATAACGCGATTCCAGTGCTCATCAGCATTACTTGGTTGTAAACGAGTCGATTTTCCAATATTTCTCTACCATCCCAGGCTAGGCAGCTGTTCCATCCTCACGTCTTTAACGCTACCGTATTCCAATATCTCAAAGTTAGGATTTTTCGTCCAGGTGCTTATAGTAACGAGGTTTCTTTGCAATCACTGCCATTATAATTCATCATTTTGTCTAGAACTCCTGTTCAGTCTTCAAAGGATGATTTAGAAGCGTGGCTCAGTAAGTACATTTAGGTGAGTGTTGACAACGTGGTAGCATGCTACGGCCAAAATTCAACCTGCAACCATTAAATATTGTGCCCCCTTCATCAAAATGTTGTGAATACCCTCAGATTCCAGGAGACAACTCCATTGTCTAAATGGTCAATCGCCTTTTCTCTCGGTAATGGTGGTATATAGTCTTTTTTTCCTCGGTGATGCTCATGTAGCTAATGTATCAACATTGCCATAAGTGTTTCTAGGCACAGCAACCCAAAGAAACATGCCTCTATGTTACTAGGTGTTGCATTGTTGCTAACATCTCTCTTGTTGGCAGGTCTCGCAGTATTCTTATGGACGGCCGTGGGTACAACGGACAAACACTGTGCCCGCACAGCTCTAATTGCCACTGTGCTTTATAATGCCATGTCGGTTGCCATAGTTTTGGCATCTGCTGCGATTCAGGTGTGTTGCCACAGTGAAGGTGTTGCCAAAATGGCAACACCTGGTGCTGTAATGAAGGTGTTGCCAAAATGGTGTTTGTCATAAAAATTTTGGATATGACAGAGATGACCTCTGATGAGTAGTTTCTTAACCACAGTTTCTGAAATCCATGCTAACTCAATTTTGGGCCCTCCATCTTACATCAATCCCTAATCATTATTCAGTATTTCACGATTCTACCTCTCACTGCGAGACCCCTGGCCCCTAACTTCAATATCAGTAGTAAGAGAATTGGGCATTCCAGCACAGTTGTGGAATCAAATTGCCACGCGCCATTAAACTATTTTTACCTCCAAAGACCGAAAAAGTTTATCGTAATTTACAATGTGCGATTTTCCTGACTTGCCGATTTATATAACAACTGACAAAATATGCTTCTACAGTTAATACGTTTTATTATGACATGATATAAGATTATTCTACACCGCGAAGTATTAGAGGGAGTTCTAATTAATGAATTCTGTTCCACTTATCTACCATCAACTTGAACGAAACTCAACGTGATTATATTGCATGTTATATGACCCATGATGAGTTTCGTGAGCATTATAATGAAACGCGCTGTGTTCTTTGAAGTTTTGTGCTGGCAAACTCATTAGCTCAGACAAGCTCTAGAAATCACTTCAAAAATCAAATTCAACCATGTAAAGGTGTATTTGATTTAGAAAAAAAAAAATGCAAATTCTCCATTCAGAGATGAATCTTAGATAAGCTGTGATGGTCATGGGTTCGGGATAAATGAGGTAAATAGGGGTAAATAGGCTACAGGGTAACTGGGGTCAATGGATTCATTGGAAACTGAGATAAAAAGTCAGAGCTTCTAGAGTAAACGCGTTATGATGATCCAGATTTTGTCAGCTGAGATAGAATGCAGCAATCCCTAAAATGACATTTGATGCGTGGCGGTGAATTAAATATGTCTTTCGTTATACGTAAGTCAAATGTTTTTTTTTTTTTTGCACTCCATCTCACTTAAATATACCCAGACTCTCTCTACTACAGAAATGTCTCTTCACTCTCCCTCCTATATCTAACCCTCCTCCTTCTCTATGCCCCCTAACTCCCCTCACCCCTCCTCCCTGTCACTTAATTCCTCCCCCTCCTTCTCTATGTCCCCTAACCCCCCTCACCCCCTCCTCCTTCTCTATACCCCCTAACTCCCCTCACCCCTCCTCCCTGTCACTTAATTCCTCCCCCTCCTCCTCCCCCATGCCCCCTAACTCCCCTCACCCCTCCTCCTCCTCTATGTCCCCTCACCCCCTCCTCCTCCCCCATGCCCCCTAACTCCCCTCCACCCCCGCAGGGAGTGTCATGGCGGGGCGGGGTGACAGCCTGTGTGTGCGCTAGGACGTGTCTGTGTCTGCTGTGTCTCGCCTACGTCAGGCAGATCGGTGAGCCTGGGGCGGGTGCAGCCAAGTCCTCCTCCTACAGACATCGTGATTCTTCCTGCTGCTCTTCACCTGCTCCTCTAACTCCTCAGCCATCTTCCTCTTCCTCTTCTTCCTCTTCACGAACTGCTCACTTCTTCGGGGGTAGGTCGTTTAGTCCTACCGAGGGCACCATTTCCGAGGGTAGCTCTTCCGATGCCAACACTTCCGAAGGAAAACCTCGAAAAGGCGACATTAATGAAGAGAGTCCTTCTGAGGGCTGCCGTCCCTTGGATACAGGGAGTCAACTTCCCTTAGATATCCCTCTCGATGGGACATCTCTCTCTTCCCTCACCTCTTGCTCTGTCTTCTCTTCAGCTGCTGCTTCTGTTCCACATCTTGAAGAGAACAAGAAGATTAAGTGAATCAGATGAACTAAATACAAATCTAAATACGTATTAGGTAACTAAATACAAAATACGAATAAAATTTTAACTATGTTTGTGTTCGATGTTTCCTATTCGAATAATTTAAATTTTAGCATCAATTAAGAACCATTTTCAAATTCAAATGATTCATCGAGTTAATTTTGAAAGAAGTTTTTGAATTTTTTATCAGATGCACGACAGGCATAGCCTCCATTTGCATATTAGAATGCATGGATATATAGGATCTAATTTATAGTTAACAGAGGTTATACCTTTGAGGTAAATAATTACCGAGTAAGCGTACATCAGACTTTTAATCACGTTATTTCTGGTAATTATCAATTAGGAACGTGTTATATATACACACCTGTCAGTTCATTAGATCGTAATTTCTATTTTTGCTGGCATTTTTGCTGGCAGTTCTTAAGAGAAATGTGCTGCCTTCAAGTTTATTAATCATTTTTCGTTGCTTTCGCTGCCAATTATTTGAGTGGAAATGTCAATTTGAAATACATTAGTTCCATGTTCATGCAATTATCTTAAAAACCAAGGCAATCACCTTAAAAAAAGTGTTACCCTTAACTATATGACTTTTTGGTTCACATACACAAATATTGGCAATAATAACAAAAGGAAAATGTTACCCTGTAGCAAATAAGTCGTTTTTAATGCTTTGGCAGGCAATCACACAATAAAAAAATCTAATTTCAAAGCATAGTTCATCGTTGCTCGAGCCCAAGCAGGCAAATGCCCAGAAGTAAAGATATTTTTTTTAATATAATGATTAATTTTTTTTATTGTGAGCTAACTTATTGTTTGTGCACATTGTTCACGCTCCTAAATTTGTGTCGAATAATAAAAATATTAACATTAAAACATTAAACATTAAAAACATTAATTCTCCCAGTCTCTGCATTCGGTGACAATTTATTGAGTAACAGAGTTTTATACAACTTCAAGTTGATTTTACTGCACAGCAGTTGGGAAATGAAACTGAATCTCCGTCATTTCAGTATGAGTGGCTTTAGGCCAAATCCTACCAGTTAGGACCTAAGCCTGACCTCTGTTTGTTTACATTAATTAGTCCTATACGTATCAATTAGTCCCAAACGTATTAATTAATCCTAAACGTATTAATTAGTCCCAAACGTATTAATTAGTCCTAAACGTATCTTACCTATAGGGCGGATTGTAAACGATCAGGTCACACATCGGTGCATCTCTTGCGTAAAATTTTGTAACCTGGTGACGTTGCCGGGTGTTCGGATGACGAACGCGCAGCAACAATCATGAATAAAATCTTTTATGAACATGAAAGTGAAGTCGAACTTCTCTCATGCCCTGCACAATTGCCAGATCTTTATATGGTTCTGCTGCTCTGATCTGAATCATAAAAACGAATCTGGGAACTTTTTCCTCCACCTAAAAACGTTCTCCACCGCCCGCAAACGTTTGCTCCCACGTCCAGCGTCACGTAGTGACGCTGCCACAGCATCAATATATAAAAGTCTTCAAACCCATTCAGTGGAACTTGAGTTAGCAGAATATATGAACAATTCACAATAAGTTCACCTAAAATGATACGCCGACATCATGTAAACAAATTAGGGAGGTCAATTCGCGGCATTTAAATTTCGCTATCCTTCCACTGCATGCGATGTGCAAGTCCGCTGTGCTATGTTAGTGCTGTGCTATGTTGGTGCTGTGCTGTGCTGCTGTGCTCCGTCTTATGTGCTGTGCTACGTCGAGTGCTGTGTCTGAAGTGCTGATGTAATGAAAATTGAGTATTAAACTCTAATTTCTTACAGATTATCTTGAACTGTTCTATTAAAGTATCTTAAGATAGTATCTGTCTCGTACAGTACCCTAAGCAGACATGTATTATTAAGTACTCCAAGCAGGTGTGTGCAATATATTAAGTATTTGTAGTTGTTATGCGTAATATAGGTATACTAAACTGGTATTTTTTATTGTCTTATAAGTATTTTTACCTATGAGAAACCACCTGTACATATGTTGTTGCCCCGCGCCCGATCCCGGCGTCACTGTTCCAGCCGTGGCTGGAGCCAGCGCACGACCGCAGCTGCATGGGTCCCTCCAAAGGTCTATGGTGCTGAGGGGCGTTTGGTTGTTAGGGCAGTCAAATAGGTGGGGCACATCATCTGGGGAGAGGTGGCAGTAGTTGCACAGGTTATTGGTGTTATTACGAATTTTGCTGCTTGTGTAACTGTTCAGGAGTATACAGTGGCCAGAGCGAATTTGTGCCAGCGTTCGTCTGGCGGATCTTTGAAGCGTTTGTTCAGATTTATCTATTTCTGGGAGCGGAGGAGGCCAGCCGTTAAGCAGTAGTACTGGTGGGTGGTACCAACCCCCAGCCTGATAATGGGGGGAGACTTCAATCTCCCACGTATCCGATGGACAAGTCCGGGCGACGTAGAGGCTGGTGACCGCGACAGAAGTCAAGAAGCCAAACTAGTGAAGTTCGCTGCGGAACACTTGCTCAGTCAGCAGGTACAGTTGCCGACAAGGGAACGAAATATCCTCGATCTCTTCTTTACTGACAATGAAAGAATGGTGGTTGACGTTCGGGTTGAAGAAACCTCACTGTCAGACCACCGACTGGTGAGGGTGGTTACGACCATTGGAACTGATACCCAGCCCAGGGCTATACCCCAAATGGACTGGCAGGACTCAACTTTCACCATCGAAGAACAGATTGGGAGGCAATATGGAATGAACTTGACGGAACTGACTGGAGAGAAGGGTTTCACGATATGAATGCCAAGGAAACTTACACAAAACTATGTGAGAAATTAGCACAGGTATGTGTGCGTCATACCCCGAGAAAAACGGGACTCAACGTCCGCAGCATTCCGGGAGACCGACGAATCCTTTTGAGAAAACGCACACGTTTGAATAAACAAATAGCTGAGTTCACTAGTGATCGTAGGAGACAGAGACTAGTAGATTTGCATCATGAAATTGAACTCAGGTTGCAGGAATCGCATAGGATAGAAGAACAAGCTGCCTAGGAACGAGTAGTGGAGGTAATCAGAGAAAACCCGCAGTACTTTTTCAAATACGCCTAGTCCAAGGCTAAAATAAAGACGCCAGTGGGTCCGCTGATGGATAACGATGTCCTTGTAGGAGACGACAAGGGTATGTGTGAGTTACTGGGATCACAGTTTGAATAAGTCTTCAGTAACCCTCGCTACACAAGAGAGGAGAACGAAATCGAAGTTCTCCAGGAACTACCAGGAGGAAGGGGGTTGGAGAACATTGAGTTTGGGCCAGAATATATGGAAATAAGTATCGAAGAATTGGCGACGTTTGCAGCACCAGGACCCGACGGAATTCCGGCAGTGCTGTTGAAGAAGTGTGTTGGAGCACTGAAGGCTCCGCTCACAATGCTCTGGAAAGCCTCGATAATGGAGGGAATTATTCCTGAGGGCCTAAAAGTAGGACTAATAGCGCCAATCCACAAAAGAGGTGCGAGGGACAGACCCCAAAATTACAGACCTGTGACTTTGACTTCACATGTGATCAAGGTTTTTGAGAAGATAGTGGTCAGAAGGCTTGTCCGGTATATGGAAGAGGCTGACCTGTTTAATAACGGACAACATGGTTTCCGGCGTAATCGTTCCTGTTGGTCACAGTTACTGGAGCACCATCACCGTCTAGTGGCACAGCTGGAAGAGGGAGCTGGCGTGTACGTGATATACCTAGACTTTGCTAAAGCTTTTGACAAAGTTGACCATGGGGTGCTCTTTAGAAAGCTGAGGCTGTTGGGGGTAGGAGGAAGCCTGTTCAGGTGGATCCACAACTTCCTTACAGATAGAGTACAAGCTGTCGCAATTGGAAACTCGAAATCGAGAGAAGCGAAGGTGAAAAGCGTAGTCCTGGAGGGCTCAGTGCTTGGACCGATCCTCTTCCTCATCCACATTGCCGACATAGACTCGGAACTCACCCACGCATCTACATCATCATTTGCGGACGATACAAGAGTGGTGATGAATATCACAGATGACCTAGACTGCGAGAGATTACAGGATGATCTATCGTCAATCTACGATTGGACCCTAGTGAACAATATGCAGTTCAACGGCACCAAATTCGAAGTAATGAGATACAGAGTCCGCACTGAGATCGGGATGCCACATCGCTACTTAGCATCAGATGGCACAGAAATTGAGGAGAAGCAACTAGTTCGAGATCTCGGAGTGTTGATGAGTACTGAAGCCACGTTCGATGCCCATATCGAGGAAATAGTCGCGCGCAACCGGCAACGGATGGGGTGGATATGGTGGACACTTCGAACGCGAGAAGCAGCACCAATGATTACACTCTTCAGAGCACTCGTGCTCCCCAATCTTGAGTATTGCTGCCAACTTTGGTCGCCACTCAAGGCGGGTGCGGTGTGGAAACTGGAGGCAGTGCAGCGGACTTTCACGTACAGGATCAGCGGCATGAGGGAGGTGAACCTGAACTACTGTGGAAGGCTGAAACACCTGGAACTGTACTCACTGAAGAGAAGAAGAGAAAAGTATATCATACTCTACACTTGGAAGATGATAAACGGATTGGCTCCCAACTTTGAGAGTGAGACCTCCAAAATAATGACAAATTACAACGAAAGAAGGGGGAGACTGTGCAGGATTCCCCCATTTAATAACCGAGCCGCGGCCAGAGTACAGACTCTTCGTGAGGGATCACTGTCCATGGTAGGACCGAGGCTCTTTAATGCCTTGCCAAAAGCGCGGAGAGGAGGGGAGTTCACCCTTGCAACATTCAAGAGACGACCGGACAAGTGGTTGAGAAAGATCCCGGATTGTCCAGTAATGGGAAACCACCCTCAGCAAGTGACAAGCAACAGCATCTTGCATCAGGTGGCCCAAAGGAGGGCAAATAGACGAAACACGTCCAACGTTACATCCGACGACGACTCGGAGACGGAGGACGACGAAGGCGGCGCATCAGCGTGACCGTGGACTACGACGTCCTAAACTCAT